AAAAGTTGATTCTAGGCAAACAAATATCAGAAGGGAAGTGAAGATTAAGATACAGCAACTTGTTTAAGCAGCCAGTAATAAAACTTTGGCATAAGGCGTGGCGGCGGTGTGCGACTGCTTGCTCCCCGGCGCTAAGGCTGATCTCAAACACCGGGCTCAGCTTCCACTTTGGAGGGAAGACCCCGGCCCGCACTCATGCCTCGCACACACTTGATTCCACTACACACGCGCACACACACACACACGCAAGCAAGCAAGCGCACACGCGACCGCTTAGTTGAATGTAAGCAAATGAAACAATTGAAATATATCTGTTTTCCTTAAAACTGGGATGAAAGAGTCCCTCGCTCAAAAGCGTCTCATTTCTTCTCAACTTAGGTGCATTTTCAGAAAAAACGCAAGCCCCAGGGAGATTAACTCTCTGCCCAAGTTAAATAGATCCTACCTGCTTTTAAAATGCCTGTATTTTTCCATTGCTAACTCACAAAACATATTTTAAGCAGAGTAGTTGAGCTCCAGTCTCAGCCTTAGAGCCCCCAGAACATTCTGCTTCTCTTTCTCTTTCTTTCATGACAACGCTTTTGTAAAGTCGCATAAATGATCAAAATTAACATAAATCATTATTAGTTATTAGGATTTGGTCTAAATTACACTGCGAATATCGCACCAGCCCCATCTGCCGCCCCTGCTCTCGCAGCAATAGATTGCAGATAAAATAAATGTCCTTACCCCATTAGAAGGTTCCTGTCTCTGTAGCCAAAAGCCAAACAAAAGCAATAAATACCGGGCTTTTTCTCTCCACTATTCAGCTGTGACTCTTTTCATCAGCTCTTCCTCTAGAAAAGCTCGATAGCTGTCTGAAAATATTGCATTTTATATCACCAAAGGGCGATTAATATTGCATTAACTGTATTTAACATTTTTTAAGCGCGAGTAATCTACAATGAGTTAGTTTCTGCTAATAAGTACAGGGGGTATCAGAACTACTGCAGACCACTTAAGATATCCGTATAAACATATTATTTGTCTCACACTTTGTTGTTGTTGTTTTTTTTTAATATAATGTTAGAGTGTAGCGCGCGATGTTTGAAGTGGAAGAAGCCGTGCTAATGGTCTGCTTAAAGTATTCTGACACTGACTGGAGACAGCCAGGTCCCTGCCTTCATTAAATGTTTATTGTCAACACTTGGCGGGGGCGGAGGGGGGTTAGGGTGTGGAGAGACTGGTGTAAGTGTATTTCCTCGGCTGGAAATTGTCAACACTTTGTTTTAGTCTGATCCATGCCTACAAAAGTTTGTGTACATTATGCTGCACTGAAGCCAGGAGTCAGAGTTATTAAACTTTTGTTCGTAATTCTTTTTGCCTAATCAAGGTGGGCAGTCTCTTTTCCTCCTCCATCCAATCTTTTGCCACTTCTCCGTCCAAACTCTCTTTTAGCTACCTCAGTTTCCCCTCTTCTTTCTTTATACTCTTGCCTTCGTAAATCAGAGTTGCGACCCTAGGGCATTTGGGATTGGGGCAGGGAGTGGGACGGGGTGCTCTTTCTCCACCCCTGCGTTTGCGGGAGCGGGCGCTGGACTCACTACTTGTGCTTTGCCAAGTTACCTTGGACCGAGATCTTCCACCCCCGTTTTCCGATCCAGGATTCTACTGAATTCTCCCGGACGGAAGCAGAGTGGCCAGCCTTCTTAACACCCTGGGTGCAAATCCTTGCCTACTAAGTTCAAATCCTTAATAGGGTTTTCGTTGTGTGCGCTTTAACTACAACAAAACAAAAACCGATACCGCACTGCTTCCAATTTTTTTTTCTTTTTAACGTAAACCAGTTTTGAAAGTTTCATGGTGTTTAAGGTGCCTGCTCGATTTAGGCAAACTGTGGGGAGGGGAGTATTTTTAACCTCTGTGAGTTACCAGTCCCTTCCCTTTTCTCTCAGGACACCCTCAAAGGCACTTACATGGTAGGGGAAGACTTCTGAGAGCTCCTAATTACCAGCTGCGGAACTCCGACTCACCTCCCGGAGGAGACTGGGAGCTCGCAGCGCGCATGTGCGAGCTCCGCGCGCTCCCTGCGCTCTCTGTGCGCGCCCGGTCCGCGGGCCGCTCCCAGCGGTCCGCGCCCCGCCTGCCACCAGCCTCCGCTGCGCAAGCGCGCCGGGAGTCCAGGCCCGGGACCGCTTATCCGTTGGGGTGTTTGGCGGCTGGGCCAATTCCCTGCCAGGGCCCGAAGGCTGATAGCTGTCCCGCTGTCTGAGAGGAACTGCGGTCTCGGGTGGCTGGAAGCCTTCAGACCAATCGGCAGCCGGTGGAAGGGCGCATACCCGGCGCCCTGCGGTCGCTTGGCCGAGGCTTGCGCGCTTAGGGCGCTGGGATTCCCCGCGCGGACGGCCCCGGGTGGGCGGGTGTTTCGGTGCCAGAGGGAGAACCCTACACGGGTCCGGGGAGGGCGGGTCCCTCCTGGCTGCAAATTGTGACCCAATCATCTCTGATTGCGGTTTGAAACGGCACCCGCCCATCCACCCGCTCGGAAGTCCGAAGTCTAGCCGAGAGGACAAGTGGGCTGCAGACTTGCGACGGCTGGAGGGGAGGGAGCAGACCCAAGAGGCGGCCCCCGAAGTAACTCCCTGAGACTGGGGAGCTCTTGTCCGCTCCACATTCAAGGCCCTTCCCCGCCCGCGCCCAGCCCTACAGGGCCTCCCGATTCGGGCAGAGGGAGAGGGAGGCCTGCCCGTCTCCTATCAAGTTGACTTGACAACAATTACGAAAGTTTTTAATTAGCTTCTTGTTATCATTCATTTTATTAATTTCCAGAACTCTCAAGCCATGAATTATTCAAAGGGCAAGACAACCGGAGCGGGGCGGTCGCGCGCCCCCGCCGCACGTTCCCGGCCCGGCTCCGGCAGCGCTGCTCGCCAGCCGCCCCGGAGGGCGTGAGCCGGCCCCGCGCCGCCAGCCGCGGTGGCGGCGCGAAGGTTTGATCAAATATTAAATAACGTAATTATTGCGACAAGGCTTATCTCGCAGGTGGAAAAGAGGTTCCCCGCGAGAATTAGAATTCGGCTGCTATTTTTAAAAAATCAATTAAGCTTGCGGTCTCCTTTGAAACCGCCCGCGAGCTCTGTGTGGCTCTCATCGTGGGGCTGAGACTGCGGCGCCAATAACACGGATAAACAGAACCATACCAGATAATAATTGTGGTCATCACCTTTACCATCCCGGGGGCCACCAAGGCAATTCGAATGGAGTGGGGGGAACACTGCTTTTTAGCCAAAGTCAGAACTCAACAATTCCCACTTCATGGACTAGACTATGAAAGCTCTTCCCCCAGAAAGATGGAGCAGGGATGCTTCACGCAGGGTAGACGAGAGAGAGGCCCGGGCGACGCGGCTGCGGGCCATGGGCAGGGGCTGGCCAGGTGAGTCCTAGGGGCTAGGGCGCCCTGTCTTCCGTTGGCCTGGCTATGTGTGGTAACAGGACCGAAGTAGTCTTAGTATCAGGAGAAAGTATACCATCATGGCAGTGGGTGCTACGGTTTATTTATGAAAGTGTAATCGAAGTTGAGAGCAATTTAAGAAAACGTATTAAGCAAAAATCTACTCAGAAGTTAGTTGATGTGTCTTGAGGGCATCATTTCTCAGACCTATAGGAGCAGGACCCTGAGCTAGGACTGGGGCAAACTGAAATTTAAAATGAATGAATGGCATCAACGTGGCAGGTGCATTTCATGCTTATTTTTCTTTTGCCCTGCCTACTCCACGAACGCCTGGATTTCCCGAGAAGCCGAAATACAAACGGAGCGCAATTTTCCCACTCTCACCAACTTATTTTAAGATCATTCTTTTAAAGTTCTGCAGCCATACATTTTAGTATTTCCACTCACCAACTGGTTTCAGAATCTGCTTAAAGTGTAGTTCCTCTTCCCAACCAGAGAACTTTGAAAGGTCAGCTACCGCTGAGTGACAAGCCTTTGCTCTCGCTTCAGGAGGACATTTGTTTGCTTGTTTGTTTCTTCCTAAATTGACAAAGGTGTCTTAGAACAATCTTATTCCTTCCCACGGTACACAGATTCACTCACCAGAGAGCAAAGCATTTCTGTTTTGCACAGTTTCCTACTACATAAAATAGGAAACTCTGCAAAGCATGTGTTTTCATGATGTTTTATTAACATAATAGTCTTTTTATTTGATAAGGATTTTAATACAAAACAAATGCTTAAGTTCTTATTACATACATTGGTCATCATTATATAATACAAATGTATTTGCCTGCAACATTGGAGCAGATTGGGGAAAAAAAAAAAACAGCCTTTGAAAATCTTTTCATTTGTTCATTCCTGGTTCTCCAACAATGAAATCCGGTCATACTTTCCTATGAAATAACGGTTGGTTTGTTTGTTTTTACAAATGCATTTTATTAAAAACTTTGATGACATTTCAAGTCAATAACAACAAAAACAAATCAATTTTGATGGAAGAGATCTATTTTTAAAAATACCTCTAGTGCTTTTTTAAACATTAACAACTGTTTAAAATCACAGCTTTTTAAATGTACTATTCTTTTTTGAACATCAAGTGTTTTGTTTCACAGATTTGCCGGTGAAATTAAAAAGATTTGGCTAAAATGGGATGATGTCAGAAGATATAATCCCAGCTATTAAGAAACTTTGTACATTTGGCATCTGATCTAGTCCAGGGTCACCAAGAAATAAAGTATCTCTGGTCTTTCTGGAGCAGTAGGTGGCACACTAAATGTTTCAAATGAACACAGGCATTTGACATGGTGGCTGGACAGATCCATGGATGATTTTTTTATATTTATTAACCTCCAAAGCAAAGTCATTTAGTTACATTTTTTAAAGAAATGTTTATAGGCTAGAAACACCACATAGAAATCTCCAAATGCCTCTTTCCCTGAACCTCAATTTAATTTGGGGAGGGGGCCTGGTTATTTATTACCTTCCACCACTCTGAGGTGAGAACTGTGGTTTAAGAGTTTCTGCAGTTAAAAAAAAAATTGATAAACACAGGCAACTAATATAGAATTCATTTTATTCAGAGCACCGCTTTTCACATGAGTTATCTGAAAGTGAATTCTGATTCAGCAGAAAAATACATCATTCTCACCCCTTCCTCACTTTTTATCCCCCTTTCAATATCCTCCCTTGTATTTGTGGTTGAACCTCATTTTTTGACCGGCTCTACCAGGACTTGGCCCAGTATAAACAAAAATGCACCCAAATCATAAAACTGCTCTTCTTTCAGTTATGTTTTATTTGTAAGCGTACTGGGACACATCCCCCTGTTGTATTTTGGCGCACAGAAATGGTTCTAATAGGAGTGGGGAGGAGGAAAGGTATTAGAGCAAAGACATAACCAAGGAGAAAGCTCAGCAGACATACATGGACAGGTAGATCAATCGTGAGACATTTCAGGATTAACACTGGCAGTTTTGTAACCATTGTGTGAGTGTGTGCGTTAAAGAAAATATTTACAGTAATTTTCCTTTTGTTCTCTTCCTCTAAATACAAGAATATGACAAGAATGTTGTGTTTTCGGTGAAAACAGGCAGTAGACTGTGAAATCACACTATCCACAAAACGGTCTATCAGAAAGCTAGCCCAGTTTAGTGCTCAGTTTCAAATGCATAGTATGTTTGCGCTGCAAACAATGATATACAACGTAATTAAATAAATAATGCCTAACCAGAGTGAGACCTAATTGTGTTTCTTTCTGCACCTTTCAGATCATGCATGATTTCAGTCTTGTTAAATGGCAGAGTTTTCCTTTTCTCATTTGTTCTGTTTTCAATTTTTTAGTTCTTATTAAAGGATGGTGATAAACCATCTCCACAAGAGATCAAAAGAGTATCTTATGCACCAAGCAGGCATTTTACCTAACCACCTTCAGCTGTCTTGTTTTTGTTTTTAACCATCAGCAGTTCAGAGAGTACCTTGATTATTACTATGAAATACTATACATGATTTTCTATTTGGGAGACTGATAGTGCAAATTAAAGTTCTTGCTACCCAACATTTATCCCCAGCAATAAATTACTTTTGAATAATAATAATAATAATAATAATGAAACACAGTTGTTCTGCTTCCCCCCCAACATGCAGACCCTTTGAAACAAACGGAGGGCTTTAAACCTGCCTTCCTCTCTCCTGGGATTTAGCTGATTTTTCTCCCAGCCAAGTCCTGCTCCAACTGAAAGCAGAAACTTTCCAGTATTTCCAGAACGATTTCATGGTCTTCAAGAGAGAAAGAAAGGGTACCTAGGAGAGCAAGATGGGTCTTGTTCTAGAGAGAAAATGGGGCACAGTACCTTTCCTAGTGTCTTCCACCCCATCAGTGTATTTGAATCAATAGGGGGAAAAGTCAGTAGGTAGTTTAAAATAAACCACACTCAGAAAAATAAATGAAAGGGCAAGCAAGTTCCATGGGCACAGGGGTGGGGGGAGAAATTTCAAAATAATCTGTTTTCCAGATCTTAGATATAAGCAAAAATGAAAGGAGAAAAACCTTGTTAAATTGTTTTATTATCCTAGAATAAAATATTTATTTCAGAGACCCTAAATTCTGCCTTTTAGTCAGCTCAGATTGTGTGTCTCTCTCTCCCTAAACATCCCCACCAGACATGACCAGACCACAGGAATATAGGCCAGGTCACCCGAAAATGTGGGACTCCTGAATAGCCTCCCTCTCCTTGCTGTGCCCACCCCCCATTTTCTGGCAATGGAGAGCAGCTATAGGAGTCTCATTGGAATGGATAAAATAAAGAGGACACGGATGGGGTGGAAGTGAGACTTGAGGGGGGGGGACAGTGAACACAGAACAACTAGCTTTGCTACCCAGAATTTCGCCTTCTGGTTTGTTTGGTTTTCGATTTTAACTCAGTTTATGTATGTAGGGTTGGGGTGGGTGGTAATAATAGTGGTGCTCTTTTTCTCTTTTCCTTAGGGAGTAATGAAGCTGCAGAACATGGTTCCCCAGAGTTAAGTTTCTAAAGCGTTTTTTTTTTCTTTTTGTTGTTTTGTTTTAGTTTGTCTTTATTTGTCTGGTTTTTGGTGGTTGGTAGGTTTGTTTTTGTACATAGTCCCTTCGTCCCCAGGAGATTTTGACAAGTGTCTCTGGTCAAAAACAGTCCATTTCCCTAGACTTCCCGAGTCTCCCCCCACCCTAACCCCCAGAACCAATCTGCTCCTCAAAACCCCTCCTCCAATCTCTGCTTTCCTTTCCCTTGACTCCCCGCTCACCCAAATATTCCCTCTTTCTCCCCTGCCTGGCTCTCCCGCATCCGTACCCAGCACCGCAGTCCTCTTTTCTGGGGAGGAGAAAGGGCAGGGAGAGCAGAGAGGGGGGGTAGAGGAGAGTGCGCTAGGAGGGACTCCCCAAATGCAAGCAAGATAACGGACACTCCAAATCTAGAGGAAAACAGGCTCGGGGAAAGGCCCCGAAAAGCCCCTTCAGCTCCCCACTCTGCCCCGCCCTGCACCTCCCACTCCCCATCAGTAAGTGGCGGAGAATTTCATCCGCTTCTGCTTCTGTCTCTGGTTGCAAAACCACACCCGCACCACGTTCTTTTTGAGGTCCAGTTTCTCGGCGATGGCGGCGATCTTCTCGGAGGAGGGCCGGGGTTGTACGGCGAAGTAGGCCTCGAGGGAGCGCTTCTCCGGCGCTGCGATGGAAGTCCGCTTGCGCTTCTTCTCGCCGCCGTTGAAGAGCTCCGGCTTGTTCATTTTCTCGCGCTGCGCGCCCTCGGCCTCCTCGAGCCACGCCTGCAGGATGGGCTTGAGCGCGATCATGTTGTTGTGCGAGAGCGTGAGCGACTCGAACCTGCAGATGGTGCTCTGGCTGAGCGAGCCCACGCCCGGGATCTTGAGGTTGGCCAGCGCCGAGCCCACGTCGGCCTGCGTCACGCCCAGCTTGATGCGCCTCTGCTTGAAACGCTCGGCGAATGCCTCGAGCTCGCGCGGGTCCGTGTCCGAGTCGCAGATGGACGCCAGGCCCGCCGCGCCCACCACGGCCGCAGCCGCTGAGGCCGCCGCCACCTGCCCCGCCGCTGCCGCCGCCGCCGCAGCCGCCGCGCCGTGGTGCGCCGCCGCCGCCACCAGCCCGGGGTGCGGCAGACCCGACGGCATGTTCATGGCGGCCGCCGCCGCCGGGTGCGACAGGTGGCCCAGGCCGTGCATGTGCGGATGCGGGTGCGCGGAGCCGCCTAGCAGCCCGCCGCCCGGGCCGCCGCCGCCGCCCCCCGGGCCACCGCCGGCCGCCGCCCCCGGGGCCGCCGCCGCCCGGGCCGCCGCCGCCCCCCGGGCCGCCGCCGCCCCCCGGGCCGTCGTGGGCGCCGCCGCCGCCGCCCGCCGCGCCCGCGCCACCCGCGCCGGCCATGAGCGCGAGCGAGGGCGAACGAAATATGGTCCAGCAGGTCGCCAGGCTCGAGCGCCTGGTGGTGATGGTGGTGGTGGTGGTGGTGCGCCAGAGGCACGGTGGACGTGGACGTGCATGGCACGCTGTTCATCGTGTGGTACGTGGCGTCTGGCTTGAATGGGTGGCTCTTGCCCTGGGACACGGCGATGTCCACAGCCGCCAGCGCCTCTGCCCGCGCCAGCAGCGTTTCGTCTAGGCTGGCGAAGAGGTTGCTCTGCAGCTGCAGGCGACACAAACCAAACCAAAACAAAAAACAAACAACCAAAAAAAACCACAAAACGAAAAAAAGCAAAAACACAAAACAAAACCACACACAAGCCGGAAAGCACAAGCAAAGGGCAAACCAAACACAAAGCAACCAAAATAACAACAACGGGGGTGGGGACAGTGGAGGCCGGGAAAGACGGAATGGGGAGCACATTGAGGACAAGACGGGGGGGAGGGACAGATGAGAAGGGACGTGAGTGTGGGGAGAGAGACAGGTTCAGGGGAGAGGGGGACACAAGAACACATTCCGGGAACCGGCGTGGGAGACCAAAAAGGAAGGAGAAAAGAAGAAGAAATGGAAATGTAACTCGCAGCTCGGGACCCGTGTCACGCACCCGAGCACGCACAGAGACCGCCTTTCCGAGGCGTGAAATTAACAGAAAAAGTGGAGGGAAGTAGAGAGTCATGGCCCCAGCGGTCCCCACTCTGATCGCAGGCGCCCACACGAGGCAGAGGCGACGGGAACACGACATTAAGCGCCACTGGACAAAACGTGCCTCGCAGCGGGATTCCTCTAAAAATCCCTGCCCGCAAAACCCAGCACCTGGACCTGGAGCACATCAGCACCCGACATGCAGTGTCTCGGAGACCGGGAGGGGGCAGGCGCGCGGGCCGGGGCCGCGGGCGTGGGGCGCTTACCGGCGGCGTGGGCAGGCAGGCCCGCCGGATGGCCTCAGAGCTGGAGTGCAGCGACGGGTACTTGTGCTCAGGGAGGGTGGGATGCATGGCAAAGTGAGGTTGCTTGCTGTTCATAGACATCATCTTGATGGCTTGGCATGTAAATCCACAAACACTCCGAAAGTCTGCGGGAAAGTGCGCACGCCGGCTCCCCCGGCCTCCCTTCGGAGGCTGCAGCCCCGATTGCTGGCTGCGCGGAGGCGGCGGCCGCGCCGGGGGCTGCTGCTGCTCCTCTGCTGCCGCCGCTGCCGCCCGGCGCTCCCTTTGACCGTGCAGAGCGCCGCGCACCGGCCTCGCGATCCCACTTCTCCTAGAGCTCTAGCCCCGCGCGCCGACGGGATGCACTCCTCTTACACCTGAGCCCCACTTCTCGCGGCCGGTTCTAGGAGCTCTCGCGAGAGCTCCCGGCCCCGCCGCGCTGACAGGCTTCAGCTGTCTGAGTCTGTCTGACGCGCGCTCTCTCTCCGCGGCGCCGTGCGTCTGCGTGCGCGCGCGCTCGCCCGGCCGCGACAGGCGCTTGGGAGCCGCTCTTATAGTGACCACCAGCAAGGACAGCGCAGGTGATGCACCTGTAGCTACCCGGGCATGCGCAATGCACGCCTCACCTTTCCCACAGCGGCTCTGGAAAGATCAAAAGGGCTGGCTATTGTCTCAGGGTACCCACCTTTTAGGGGGAGAAAGACAAGATGCTCAGAACCCCTTTGGTGCTTTCCCTCTCTCAAACTCTCCCCCGCAAGCCCGGAATATATGCGCATTACTTAGGCACACCTCCACTCTGGGATGTCTAACAAGCTGTTATATGTATACAGCTGGGTATTTGTATGTTAAATTATGCCCGCGCTTTCCTCTGTATACAGTATAAATAACAACATAGAAACGCAGAAGATGCTGTCTTTTGCTGCAAGAACCTGTTTCTTTCAAGGTTTATAAATAGGTTCCTGGAGAATAATCGCCGTGACAGACATTTGTTTGAAGCAGTCAGACGCTATTGATTTCCATATAATTTAATTTCCTCCGCATACTTTGTTGTTGTTGTTGTTGTTGTGAATATAACTGTGTCAGGCACCGACAGTGACAGCCACTTAGGAGCCACAAGGAGCGTGTGCTTTCTACTAAGGAACTGCTGTTGAAATGAAATTGTGCATTTCTCTCATTGTTTGTCTCCTTTAACCGTGTACAAACCCACATTTCAAACGAGCTCCGGGTGATCTGAGGCTTCTAGTAATCAAAAGGAAAAATAGTTAACAGGGTGTTGTGGGGATCCTTTCCTCTCCTCAGCGTATACACACACACACACACACACCACACACACACTTTATGCTGGAAACTCCGGGAGAAAAGAAAATCGCTTCAGAGAAAAAAGAATTAAGATGTTGAAAAGAGAACTTTCTTTTCCCTTCCATCGTCTTGGCTTTGGCCTCTTTGCTTCGTGTGTGTGTGTGTGTGTGTGTGTGTGTGTGTGTGTGTGTGTGTATCTTGAATAGGAGACAGGATCAAGCCAGTGTATAGGAAAATGTGATTAAAATATTAATTCAAACCAATCTGGAATAAAGAAACCTAAGCTCTGGTGCAGACTTTATTTTTTATGTATTCTCTGATTGTGAAATCAAAACCTAAGAAGAATGAATCAATTAGCCAACCTGTTATATGGCCCTTATATGGCAGGCAGATCAAGCGCCTCCCGGGAGAACCACAGTTCAGGTGCCGAGTCCCCAGGGACACAACGCTTGCCCCGGGTGATAATAACAGCCCAGATGTTATCACATCTGTGGCGGGAGAGCTGGAGAGCGGCAAGGGGCTACTTATGGGAGGCAGAGATCAGATAAATAATCTTTCTGGTCTCTCCCACACCAAAGAGGTCTGTATTTCCACCAAAGAGCAGATCTCATTTCTAAAAACCTCAATTTGCGTTCGTGTGGATCTTTTCCTCAGATAAACGTGTCCGTATTTAGCATACCCACTCAATACTCAAATTCCAAGAAAAGCCCACAGGCATCACCATGGCTTTTTCTTTCTTTCTTTTCTTTTCTCTCTACCCTCCTCCCCTGTTGCAGCCAGAGAGGGGAGAAAGATGTTCACTTGCTGGTTCGAGAGGAGTCTCGCGTTTCCATCCATTACATGGTCCCCTGGGAGTTCTAAATGCAACTTATCTCTACAGGGAATGGACGGGGAGCAGGACATCGCTGGAGGGAGCGAGTGAGTCCTAAGGTAGTTGTCACCCTGGATGTCCAGGCTTAACCTAATACTTCCTGATACCCATGGCAGCCAGCCGTTCCCTGAGCTCTTTCACTAGGGAAAGGAAGGGTCCTGCAGAGGGCAAGAGCCTAGATCCTGCCCACACCCCAGGGAAATGCTGGCCTTTAGACACCCGGAAGGGTGGAAAGGTGCATGGAAGGCAGAACCGCAAGCAGCACAGGTTCCTTCTGAGTGGACCCCCAGAGAGCGAGGCCAGTCCCCAAGTACTGGAAACTCATCTGGACTTACCTATGACTCTGGGAGGGCACGGGGAAACCCAGAAAACAGGCACCCTACCAGAGAGCAGGAGCTTACAAGCCTGCCCAGACTCCTCCTCTAGTTCACATTCCTTCGGACACCTTTTTTTTTTTTTTTTTTTTTGGACAACCCATGGGGTGGGGCCAGAATTTGTCCAGAATATCTCAGCTTTTCCTGCGGCTAGAACTATGAGGGCTGTGGGTTCAATTCCCAACCCACCCCCCTAACCAATGGACTGGAAGCCCATTTTAGTGCACATCTGTGTCCACAACAGTACATAGCAAAGTGCTTGGCACAGGGTAAAAATGCCCCATCGAACAACACATGTGTGTAGAAGGAAGAGAAGGCAGATGGGGAAGGCCAGGAGTAAAATCCAGAGAGTTCAACAAGCCAGGGTTAATGGGAGGCAAGCAGGAAGATCACTGAAGGGTCTCCTCTCTTCCAAAAAGGGAAATGGAGACTGGGCCAGAGGGGTGCATTGTCCCCATGCAGAGCTGTAAATCTTGTCAGCAGCTTGTTCTTTTTTGGAGTTCAATTATTGCATCCCTCCCTCATTTACATTCTACTTTCCTTTCCTTCCTCACATGCTTGGTCATCACCAGTCTGGGCCAGGGCAAGACACTGGAGAGAAAATGAGGTATAAAACAGGGGTATCTGCCCTGCAGGAGGTAGCAGTCTCTAAGAGTGGGGCAGCCCCAGGTGAAGGGGCACTTAGGGTACATACAGGTGTGACAGGTGCAGAGAAAGGGAGTTGGATGGAAACATGGGATGGGGTGGAAGATGGTGCCTGGACAGTTATCCAGCCACATCCCTGCTGGGCCGCGGCCCCAGGCTAGAGCTTGGGGCATGGTGGCAGATCTGCATGCAGTTCCTTGGGCCTTATGAAGTCTTTCTCTACTTACCCCAGGGCAGTGAAAGAAAAGGGTGGTGGACTGGGGCTCACCAATATGTCACTGCTTTGTTTTCCTGGTCTGGCAAGTGCAGTAACTAGTTGGCCCCTGCCTGTGCTAATGATGCCCACATGGGTTCTGAGCCCGGGCATAGATTCCTGGAAAGATGTCCTCGTCCCCCCCCCCACCCCCGCCTTCCTTCTTGTTTAATGACCAACACAGATTCTCCCCTCCCCCTATCTCATAGCTTTGCATTTTATCAAGAGGGGGATAATGAATGCACAGCTATTGATTTCCAAGGAATTTCTGCCCCCAGGGATAGGGAGTCTATCATCTGGATCAGAGACACATTTCTTTCCCTCATTAATTAATTTTCTCCTCCTTCTTTGGCAGGTCCCACTTCACATCTTCTCTGGCAGCTGCTGTTCCCCCGAGCTCAGAGAGGAGAGATTCCTTGGTTGGAGTGAGGCCCGGCGAGAGAGGCGCTGTTCAAGGGCCCACACTGCTGGGAGTGAACTGTCCTTACCTTAGACACCCACCCACCTCCACAGATCAGCAGAGCGCGCCTGACAGCTCCTGCTGGCTCGGGCTGCCGTTCTCCAAAAGGGTGTGGGGGTGGGGGAGAAATCAGCGCTGGACATAGCAGCCACTACCTGCACACACACACACACACACACACACACACACACACACACACCCCTCTGGGATGGAACCCGGGTTATTTCTTAGGATTCAGGAACAGGGGTTTGGCCCTGAAGAACGTCTACTTAAGTGCGTGGAGAGAGAGAGAGAGAGAGAGAGAGAGAGAGAGAGAGAGTGTGTGTGTGTGTGTGTGTGTGTGTGTGTGTGTGTGTGTGTGTGTCTGTGTACAGGAGGAGGGTATCGGGCTCCAGGTTCTGGCCTGAAGATCTGGCCCTACCTGCAGGCCGGCCCCCTCCGGTTCTGGCGGCCCGAGTGGGAGCTCTGCACCTCCCAGACCCGGGGTGCCACAGTTCCCGCGGGCAGTCGCCCAGTTTGAAAGTGCGCACATTTCACAGCGCGGCCCCCCTCTGCGTGCAGGCGTAGCCCCCAGAGGTCAGAGCTGGCCGCCTCCAGAGGCCTTTGGGGTTGTTTTTAAGCCCTGTGAAGGGGCAGGCAGGGGAGGAGCAGGCCCAGAGTAGGGCGTGGGGGTCGGTTCTCCTGAAGAGGAGCTGCGCTTGGCTGGGCCCGGCGGCGCCCTCGCGCTCCGACACTTTCTGCCCGAAGCGTGGAAAAGGGGAGCTACTGGTGCGGTACTTTCGCTTCCTCTCGCGGCCGCCTTCCCAGGGCCGTGCCTGGGCTGCCTCGATGCTGGGTCTCTGTTCGCACTACCCCCCCGCGCGGGCCGATACCATCTCTCCCGCCGTTCGGGGCCCGGGCTCCTCGCGGGTCCTGCCGAGGTCCTCTGACCTCCCCCAGCGGACCGCGAGGCCTCAGTGCCTACCCCGTCCGGCTCTGGGCGGTGGCCCTGCCCTCTGCCAGCCCCAGGGCCCAGTCCTGCCCACGCAGCGAGTTCAGAGCCACGCTCTTCCTGCCGGGAGCTCGGAGATGTCTGGAGGCCCGGTGCTCCCTTTCCACCGCGCCCCGCCCGCACTCGGGCCGCTCGTCGGAGGTGAGTGAGTTACTGAGGCCCACGGTGATCTCGTAAGGCTCCCGCCCCGTGCGCGTTCAGACTGAACTCCAGCTGAGACCTGCGGAGAAGGTTCTTGAGTTATCCGGTCAAAACCCCGCTGTTTTCTTTCTTGGGGCCGTTTAATTCAAGCGCCACTTCCGTGGGGAACATTTTTCGGGATGTCGACCACCCCACCCCGAGATGATGCTTCCCAGTAAAGTTCGCCGCCGGTCATTATCACTCTGGGCGTTACGCATGTAGAAATCAATCGATCTATCTACTACCATCTCTCTATCACCTCCACCTTCTCCGCCTGAATCTCTCT